ACTTTTAATAAAATAATATATAATCTATACAATTTATATATGGCTGTATCTAGAGATTCGTATTCGTATTCATTATTCATATTCTGAGAATATTCGAATTCAACAAATAATAAATCTTAATCAGTGAAGGTTAGAATATCAAGTGTCAAGATTCTCGATTTTGATTAGCTAACGGCTGTTTGATTTTTTAAAAAATAGCTAGGTGGCTGCGATTTCATTGGTAAAATTTCGCGTAATCCTGGGCTGATTTTTTGATCGTCGCTCTTAGCCAATTAAAAATGAGAATCTGCCGTGACAAATTTTGTTAAAAATAATTTTTTACGTAATCACCTTTTAAGTTAAATTACAACGTAAAAAAGAATGTGCAGAATTATGTACCGCAGTACCCAGACACCAAATAAGGAGTTCGATAATACAGTATATAATGTTGCATTATTGCATAAGTCTAAAGAAGTAATCCACACAGACCAACAAGTTCCTTATGGAGTCAATCCACCGATATAAGAAACATATTACTTATTAATTATTTCAGACGAAAAGGTATAAATAAGCTTGGTCTTCATGATTCTTTTTTTTCAAAAAAACCCACAATATTCACAATATTTAACAAAATCTACAATATTTCATTTTTTAACAACAATTCGTGCAAGATACCTTTAACAAAATCCACAATATTTAACAAAATCCAGAATATTTAACAAAATCCACAATATTTAACAAAATCCACAATATTTATCTTACACGATGTCAACTAAAAGTACCGTGCATTATTATGATGATGGAGATATATTGATAGTAGTTCAAGACACTACTTTTCGAATTCATCGAAACTTAATAGTATTAGCATCGAAAGTATTTCGGGATATGTTTTCTTGTGTGAATCAAAGTAAGAATAGACAAGATAAAACAATACCGAGCATAAATCTCACAGATTCATCGTTATCAATTTTCGAAAATATTTCTTTATCCACACAAATTTATTGCAATTTCATGGGCAAATATTTCCAATTTTTTACAACTTGCAGATAAATACGAAATCAATAGTGTAATAGAAGCATCAAAATTGTTCCTCGAAACTAATTTTCGAGAACAACCTAGCTTGGCGTTTGTATTGGCAGATAGATTCAGATTTCCATATGTATATAAAGAATCATCAAAACTTGTTTTTGATATACTTCCAACATTTCATCAATCACAATATTTTTAACAACTTACACCTCAAACAGGATTATTTCTCTTGAATAGATACTTTGAATATATAACATCAATTGGAAACTTAAAAAATTTTGATGCACATTTAACTTTTAAACATACTTGTGAATCAGCCCAATATGGTAGTAAGGATATGAGATT